GTGTGTGTGTGTGTGTGTGTGTGTGTGTGTGTGTGTGTGTGTGTCCAAACCAGGCACCAGGAAAGCTGTCCCCGTCTTGGCTGGGGCAGAGATTCAATCATTTGGGGTCGGTGACTTACATTGGCCCTTCTTCCTTGCACACACAAACGCGCACACACACACACACACACACACACACACACACACACACACACACACACACACACACACACACACACACACACACACACAAACACAAACACACACACTCTGTGTCTGCTGCTGTCTGCCACATACCAGCATCTCTATCTAGTCCCTCACCAACACCTCCTCATTAATGCACACTGAAAACACACAGTTGCACAGAATAGTGGTTATAAACACACACACACACACACACACACACACACACACACACACACACACGCACACACACACATACACTCACACACACAGAGTTGTCATGGGTTCTGGCCTCTATCACTGTCAGTGATACAGCCTGGCATGTGCAAACACACAAATGAAAACACTCACTGTACGTTACAATAACAGACAAAAAGGACGAACTATGTTTGATTTTTTTTGACTTTTTGTAAACTTCTCACCCTGTATTTGCTCTGATTACACTGAACTGTTGGGTTTAGTTCTCCTACAGGGGAAGCCTTGCTGCTTAGTCGAAACTTATCTTGCCCAGCAAACTTCTCGTACAACATGTAAAACTATAGAAACACAGGCTGAGCCTATATAGGCATACATTACCTGGAACCATAAACGCATGAATCATTTCTGACTGTGGTGCTACTTTAAGCCCTCGCAGGCCAACAGAGGCCCACGCCTTGATATTATTAGCCACCAATTGGTGGTTCTGTTATCAGCCAGCAGTTACACATTGATGACAGTTCCCCATTTCCATTGAGGCAATATTGCTCTGTTTGCCTTGACTTCTACAAGAGAAAGAGTGGGGAGTGAATCAATACTGCTGTATACGGTTATAGGTTATTGTATAAGGTTCATGTACAGAGAGATAGATGATGGGTGTCACCAGACTTCTGTAGTCCGCACCTCATCTCTCTTTTGGTGCACATATTTAGTTTTTTTTAACTGGAGTTCAGTTGTTTTAAAAGTGCAATGCTAAATCAGCGGACTCTTTTAAAGGGCCTGCAGTTAAATGATGCACCCATGCAGGTGTTTTCAACCATGTTCCATGATTAGAGCTCTTCTCTGAGCTACTTGATTAACATGTTTTAATACACCTGTTGCAGTGGACAATTTGCATATGGGTCATTTTTAATCATTTTTAAATTATGTATTTGTTCGGGGAAATGTAAGATATGTATGCCCTTTAATGCATTTGACTAAGGTAAATCCACATATAGGCATGAGCCACCTGATTCTGAGATGAAAGCACTAACGATGATGATTGATTATTTCCTCCAGTGCTGCTTTTATTTTTTAATTTTGTATCTCTTGTCAGGAAACTTTTAGACACACGCACACACACACACACATACACACACACACACACACACACACACACACACACACACACACACACA